ATCCAGTTCCAAGATTCTACCTAGGATCTCCTTTAATCTCACTAGCATCCTTAACAAGTTCATGGGTTAACCTATAGAGCGCGCAGCTCTCTCGCTTTAGAATTCCTATAGCCTTTTTAATTTCATTACGAATCGGAGGACTTATATCAACTTATCATTCACGTTGATTGGAGACCGAGGACAACCGAAATGTGGCTGAAGGCCAGTTTAGCTACTCCCTAGTGTTCTGCTCGTCAATTCAATCTGGATTTAGTATGAATAATAGTCCCATCTTTGTTCGAGAGAGTCTTGCTAACAGTCAGATTCCTAATACCAGTTTTATTGATAAGCCTGAACAGTTGTCTATTATTACCTATCGCAGCTCCCTCTTGTAATCTCTGTTGCTTTCCCTATTAACCGCTGTTCGAAATTATTGTGTAGGCTTTTTATTAGCTTGCGCTTAAGCCTACTACGCTCCTCATTATGTTTAGAGCCAGATGAGATGAGTTTTCGAGCGTTTATCAGTTCGGTAGATGCTACTGAAATCCAGTTTATATGGTTTGAATCCAGTGTTTCCCCCTGAACCTAGGGTTCGCCTTACTAGCAGATATTACTGCTGTCTTTACAACTTTTTGTATATCACTCCAAGCTGTCTCGGGACGGGCATCACTTACATGGCTGCCTATCTGTTTTTCTAGTTTCTCCTGTAATGTATTCTTAGATATGAGATCGTTAAGTAGAATCTTAAGAGGTTTTCTTGCAGAGCCTTTCTTACGTCCAGTAAGGCGCAGAAAATCATGTGTACGTACTAGGACATTATCAGAATCGAAACACATGCTCCAGAATGGGCAGCAGTCTTATATCGAGCCTCTTCATTTGTGGTTGATAGCGATGTGATTCGATTCGGTCTAGCATTGAGTCGTTTTTTGGGGGGTCACTATGTCAAAATATGGTTATCCTTATGCTTAAGGTCGGTTTTTTCTAGAAACGGGCGGTTATCTGGGCATAGTTACAACAGACAGTCGCCATTATCTTTTCGATCGGCCGCGACACCAAAGGATCCCTCCGGATGCCTTTCAGTTTCTCTTTATCTACCTACTTGAGCATTAAAATCACCTGCCACTACTAGTACACCAGGACGCTTAGATTTTCGACGAGGGTTGGAAAGCTTTCCGTAAAATTTTTCTTTTACCTCACCTGAGCTGCAATCAGTCGGAGCGTAGGCAGAGACAACGGTTAGTGTCCCTATCTTTCAGAGTTCTTACTGTCCCGTTTAGTCAGGCAGCATACAAGTGACTATCTATTGGGATTCAGTCTAGGAGAGCTAGTTCTACTTTAAAACTCAGTGCTATACTTACACTAACGAGGCCACTGGAAGTAGTAGTGGCTCTTCCATATACCTAGAATAAATCGCAACGGTTCCTTATTTTTACAAATTGAAATCAAATCAATGACTGTACTCGGATCCTGTATGCGCGTTTCGGAGACGCACCAAACATCCATGACACGAGGTTCCAGGGTTCTAGTTAAGGAAGCCTGTTGTTCTATTTGGCAGAAGGTCCGAACATTAAAAACTCCGACATGTGTAGAATGGGGTTTTAGGAATAACCTTTCGTGTACTTAAATCGTTAGCATTAGCGGTGCGAGGTAATAAAGTTATATGAGGAGGTTTAGTCGTGGAGACAAGAAAGTTATTAAGAGGTGTGAAAAGGATTTGATTGTGAGCAAGCTGACTTCGTGTGCAGTTAGGGGTATGAGGGCGGATGTCAGTTCCTGGTCGCTAACAGCATGGAAAGGTATCACCTGAAGAACATGGAAGGAAAGTGATGTTAGCGTAGGTCTTAGCGACCTGGGAGCGTGACTACAGAGGCCAAGAGACAACTGCTTGAGGCTGGTCACGCATAGTCTTTATGTGAGGTGATTTGGAAGTGTTAGCTTCGCTCTTGAAGAACCTATTCTGCTGCAGTCGGAAATCCGTGGGATACTGACAATTATAATTTTGATGGGATATCACTACATCAGTGATCAGAAAACGACCGGAGGCGATTTTTAACTAATGGCGAGAGAGAATAGCGATGAGATTCAGTACGAAGTTTAAGTAAGACTATTTGAGGTTAGATTAATTAAAGTAGGTTAAACCAACACTATGTAAAAGATATGCATTGCTAGAAATTAATAATACACATATTAAAAGTTTAGCGAGCCCAGCCAAATGTAAACGCCACTATGATAAGGTACAGTGTATTTCCACAAACTTACATGTCAGCTTATTTCGGTTACAAGAGAAAGAAACACAGTTAAACAAGAGAGTCGTCTGAATTAGTGAACTGTTTATAAACAGTAATATAAAGGCCAGACAATTGGATGTTTAGAATTGGAGTAAGATGGTCAGTCAGTCAGTCAGATGCAATGTAGAACTTCGTACGTAAGTACGTCAGTTCAGGTTGCCATACCACATCAGCACAGAGATGTAATTGTCAATTCAAATCCAATAGTAGAAGAGGTAGTAAAGGTATTAGAAGTAATCGGAGACGTTAGGATTAGAAGATATTATTCAAGAAGTATAATTCAGTGAGAAAAGTTTAGAAAGTCGAAACTAGAGGTGTTGAAGAATCCGGAAGATTAGGATTTGAGAGAACACAAAGAATAAATGCACCGGCGCCATTGCGAACGACTTTGAGCCATATCATTCAAGGTCTCCAACCATCGATTATTATCATCTCGCGAACCCCAACCAGGTAGTCGACAACTACCGACATGGCTCAGTCCACTCGTCAATGACTTCATCGATTTCTGCCATGTTTTGGTTTGGCCGTCCCTAACTTTCTTCCAACCTATTCCTACACTACAAAACAAAGCTCGACGAGGCAGTCGGTGGTTGGGCATACGCAACACATGTCCCAACCACCTCAACTGATGAAGTGTCATTACTGCGTTTATTGATCTGCCATTCTTACATAGCACCCGATTCCTAATAACAGCATTGCTCACTCGGGTGTCCCAGGACATACAAACAATGCTTCGAAGATGGTCAGTTAAAGTAAGCAGTTCATTCTAGGTTTCTGAACGCAAGTAGCTTATCCAGACAACTCATCGATCTTACAAAAATGGTCATTTCAAGAAGATCGGATATACAGGAGTTATCATGAAGTGTTAATTACATATTTACAGTTACTGTGCAAATACATTTATGGTTAGCTATCGAAAATAATTTCAGCGAAAATCAAAGGTAGTGCCCAGAATGACCAATTGAGTTCAGGTGGTGATAAGCGTTCTAAACACTAGCATAGTTCGCATTTCACAAACGGACGAGATTCATTAATCTCAAGAAGTACAAAATAATATTTTTCAGTAGTGTTCAACCAAGCGAAGTTGGCGAGTCCTGTGATCTAGATAGATACTAATTACAAGATTAAAATTAAATCTTACTGCCTACGATTCAAAAGGTCGCTGATGTTTCAAGTCATTGACTTCGATTATTCTTATTATACCATCTAAATAGTTGTGACAAGTCAGCAGATGATAAGCCAACACAACTATCTTTAGTCGCACGATGGCTCATCACAGGCTGACAATCCATGGTCTCACCCGGTAATAGTGAGGAAATAATGAATGTCTCGATTATTGTCAAAACCTAGCTAAAACTGGTGGGTACAAACATATTTCTGCGAATCTTTTTGGATTAAATCTTACTACAATTGTTAGGAACCTATTATACTTCAACCACAGAATAAAACTAGCTGAGAGACTTGAACTAGTATGTTTGCATCTACCAACGCGGCTCAAACTGACAAATCGTCAAACAGTTTGTGTCACTGTCTTCTTATCCTATCAACCAATTTACTGAGTACTCAATACAAAACCTCAGAACGATGATTCCATTATGAGACAGCCTTTACCAAAAAAACATTCGACAACTGTTGGCTTGCAGTAAATATGACAGAGAAAGTGCAATCATCACTGGTGGTTTGCTTATTTTCTGTCCACACTTTGTGCATTTTGTAATCCGAGATGTTCATTCGACTGGAAATTTTTCAACCGAATATCTAAAAGACCATTTAATTAGAAGCCCGCAATAAACTAACCAAGTAATTCCTAGACCCTTGTTCTCACTAATGTACTAGATCGACATTACATAAGTAACCGACATGAGTTTTCACTCAAGTCTCAGAATCAATGAATATCCCAGGTTCATAGTGGTAAACCTTTCGACGAAGATTTGAAATTAGGGTTTTAGAGCTCGGTATGAAATTGATAGTACGGTTTATGGAAATTGGGAAGGGCTAAACGGCCAGATAACTTGATAATTACTGCAAGATTCAATTGGTAGCCATTGAAAGCAACTGTCAAATAACCACATAACTTGGGTGGATGCTACTGACAAAAATGAAGTATCTTGATTACAAATTTATGATTACAGGAACATGGCTAACCCATATGTGAAGAATGAATTTACTTTATATGACGCACCAATCTGTAGCACTTTCAAGAACACTTATGTGCATTAGGTTTGATAGAAGTTGAAATTAGCTTTTTAGTCGAGAAAATCACTTCACGAGTTGGCTGAATAAAAATTTTTGGAATGACGTTGGAATCAAAGTACCAAGTGTACTACTGAAATATATACGTCAGAATTCATATTGAAGAATGAAACGCAAAGATTTAAGACTAAAACTAAATTTAGATGGGCGTATTTTTACTGGAACTTATTTAATACCTGGTATCTAAACTGTGAATTTCGCTAGGAAATACCGAGGGCTTCGGCTGTTTGTTGAAAGCTTTTTCTTGGTATCTTTTATTCCAGAAACATAAAACCACGGTATTTTATTCTGTGGATTATGGTATAATGTGCTAATACCTACTATAACTGAGTTAGATTGTGAGAATATAGTACAGCCCAATAAACATGAAAACTCATTACAATAGGTGTTAACATATAATCAACTAACCTTTCTCTGTCGAGCACCCCCTACTGATCCCCTTGATGAGGCAGTGGTGGACTTTGCTGAAGCAGCGGGCGAAGAGGGCTAGAAAATTCTCTACTACAAGTAATTTGAGCCTTACCATTTTACAGGTTGAAACGTATATTGATTTACGTGTCGCCTTGATGTGCTGCGTTGATGGGCTAAAACAAACGGCAACTGTAGCAGTCAAGAGGCTTTAGTTTATCAAGTTACTAAGCTTAAAAAATGAGTCAGTGGTTAAGGCGTCAGCATCCTTGGTATCAAAATCAACTGGGTATAAACCAAGTATAAGTAAATTTCAAAATACGTCGTTTTCATTTGAAAGACTGAGGGTAATTTGCTTGAACAACTTCGGTTGATAATTAGTTACAGGACCTAGACACTCATAAAAGATGTAAGCTACAGCTACCTCCCATTTCACCATATTCTACCTGTGGTTTACAGATAACCACGTTTCAAACTTCATTGCGGAGAATGATTGAAATGCTTGTTTCGTGAAATTTGAGCCTGAAATGAGGAAGCGTTTTCTCTCCAATGGAAAAGTCTAGTCTTTTTTTATGTCACATCTTTATAAAAGGATAAACCACATATTAAAAGTGGATGTGATCATTTGTTAGTTCTTAGAGTAACTAGCAGCAGGACTCATATTGTGGTGCGAGCTACTTATAAGTAGTATATGACGTGAGTGTCAACGTAATGTCTGGCACCAGAAGATGGGGGAAGATCAAGAAAGGAAGAGTGGGAACACAATGGAATTTGTATGAAACGCATGAATAGTGACAATGAATTGGTATTTTGCAACAGGATCAGTCCAGTTCGATATGATGAACTGATATTTTACAAATTAACGATTTACGATATGGTTTTCCAATTTTACTGAGTAACTCTGTAATTTTCGCTAAATGCAATTTAGTTTCCCCACCTGTGTTCTCCTTCACTACAATGTAACTAAAGTGAATGACAAGTCATATTTTTGAAGGCTTTTCTGAAGCCGCAATGACTAACACCTTGAAAAATTTCCGCCAGTCAAATTATTCTTTCCATATGAAGTGTTGTACTGATGTTTGCAACAGCGCATTCTCTCTTTATTTCAGATGGGTACGTCTGATTTTAAGTAGGGCTCACAGCTATATTGACACGCGATTTGGCTCCAGTTGAACGAACAGTCGAATGTCATATGAAATAGGTCTTCCTTTAAATTACCGTTTCAGCGACGGTGATGATCAGAAGCCGAATACGATTTCATGAATGAATTTATTTCATGCATTCAGATATACTGCATATGTGTCAAATTTCGAACTTCCTGATGTTGTAGTGCGTCGATTTACTACGTGTTCTTAAGCTCAGTTATTAACTCGTTCAGACAATCGTTACTAACTAGCGTCTGACCGTTTATAAATCAGAAGATGAACTCGTAGTGTTTAATACGTTTATTTGGGACACACCACAAAGCGAGTCGGAGAAGCAGTGAATAAAACGAATGAAGCGATGTGAATTGGGGAAGGCTGTTGAGCTAACTCAAAGAGATAGAGCATGACTAAGAATTTATAGTCAGACAAAAATAAGACAGACATTTGACAAGCGAAATAGGCATGCACAGACATGAATAAAAGCGACGAATGGTTGACAATGTTAAAAGCAAGCGAGACAATTCATGTGAGTTCATGGGGATATTCGGAGATTAACAATAAAGCGAACAGGATCAGTAAGCGCGTGGGCGTAAGCAATGTTCAGTCGTACAAGCTCATACAAACCATGCAATAAAAAATACCAATGGTACATATGCTTTGTTGCTATACAAATAGATTGGTTACATAAGTTAATCGAAAGGCGTGATCAAATTAAATATGAGCTGACTAAAGTTTATGTGGAGGCACTACAGAGTGGTGACTCAACACCATCTACTGATTCCTGGGATTCACTTGAAATAGACACATGTTAGCACACAGACTCATAAACTTCGCCATCTGCTGCTTGAAGCCCGATCGACGTGCATCCACTCAGTTTCAGAAAACATTACCCGATTTGGATCGCACAAAACTCTACCTGCACCCATAACTTTGTGAGTTCCTTATTGCCTGTAATCAGTTTACTACTTCCGCATGCAGTGTATCGACTTGTCATTGATTCTCTCTCGTTATCAACTACCCTAATTTTAGCTGTTGTACCCCTACACTTTCCCGCTTACTCTAACAAAAATCTTTTTGCGTCCACAGCCAGAATGATTGTAGCTTGTTTGAAAATCCTCACTTCTCATCTTGACAGTGTACAGTACTGGATTGATGCCCATCTCACAGTTCGTAAATCGTAACGGTCAGACACACTTATCAAATGGAACTTGAAGAAACAGAGCTCCATAGGATGTGAAATGTAGAGACTCGAATAGGCGAGTTTACGAGGGATTGATATGAAATTTATGAGTCTAGGGCGTCAGAGATGGTTCATCTTTTTCGCAAAATGCACAGTACGCACTCGCCCAGCAAGGATGCAGCTTATTCCAAGCGATTTAATATCAATATTTTCCAACAAATACGGACTTACTAATTGGTTATGTCACACAAATATTCTCCGAGTAAATCTCCTTAAACAACGTCTCGTGATCCATTGCTGAATTACGCAAAATACTCAAGAACTCTGACGTGTACTTACCCCTTCATGTAAACTTTTATCAAAAATGTGGCTGTATCAAAACCTTCATCCCAGTGAAATGGCGAAAACTTGCTATTTCAGGAAAATAATATCAATATCAACCTATCACAGTGTAAGTGGCAGCTACTTTAACAATTTATTCTTGCTTGTAAATTGACATGCCTCACGTAACACGACTTTATTCGAGAATAAATAATATTATCATTATTATTGCAAGATAGGTTAGGCACACTCCCAACAGTGATGTTAAGAACGAGTCAATCAATTTAGATAGGAATAAGGGAAAATTTCAGTTTCGAACAATCTGTTATCCAGATGGGGAACCAAGGAGACTGCTCACATGTTAGCATCTTGACATGAACAGTTGGGCTCGATCCCGTGGTGCAACCACACGGGTACCTGATACCCTGGTGGACCATTCTTAAATGGTCAATCTGACAAAGTTTTCACCAGAAGTTTTGGACAGTGTTACAGATCCCTTACTGATCCACGCCCACACAAACGTAGTTCGCTGTCTATCACACTCTTGACTTTCCGGACATCGATAGAATATGATCATGTCTTCTAAGATACACATTCTGGTGTTCGTGAACACCGTTCACAGGAATGTGTGTTTTCTCAGGCTTAGGAAATGTGGTTGATCTAAGCCAACATACATAGACTTCCGATCGATTCGGTGATCTCTCATGCATTCAAAGGTTCTTGGAAAACGAGTTTTCAGGTATTCGTTCTTTCCAGTAAATCTGACTATAGTCGGTTATGAAAGGCAAACTGACATATCCACAGATTGACTGCTTCTCAATAGCATGTTCTAAGCACCTAAGAACATCGATGTATCGGAACTACGGCAAATACTACGTAAATTTAACGCTTAACTTCTTGAGGCACACTAGTGATACATGAAACGAACAAAGTATCATGTTGACATGACGGTTTTTGAACTGTACAGGAGAAATTTCAGACGTGGTCGAATCCATGATAAAATTGCGTGTATAGTACGTATGAAACATATCTCTGAAGTGTTTTAGTAGTCTCACCATGCCCTTTAAGCGCTCTTACCCAGAGAGAGTAAGCAAAAATATGTGCCCATACCCATTAATATATGTTACGACTAGCTGGAATAGTGGAAAACTAAATTATCTTTTTCTTGTTTGGCACCTGCTCAGCTTTGTTAGTTAATACATACTACCTCTAAAAACGCGTGATAGATAGCTATCCGCTCCCTGAGACTGAAGAATATCGTAGACGAATTCGGATTTTCTTGAAATACTCTTACTTCCGTGTTAAACTGTATGTGATTTAAAGCACTGTTGATATGTTTAGTACCTAAAATCGACTGAGTAGAATGTAAGTTTAAAGACCTTGATACAAGAGTGAGCAAATTTTTGCAACTTCTTTATTAATTAGCTGTTTGCATGACTTGCAAGAAGCCTGATGCTGACTCTTGAGTTGGTGTATTACCCAACAAAATATCGTTTTCTCTGACTTGGTTGTAGTGATGAGTCAGAAGGTTAACAGTAATCTGAAGAATATTGTGCGCTGGTAGAGAACGAGGAGAGGTCTGTAAGGTTATTTTGAAAAGGAAAGAACCTGAGAAAAGGCGAGACGACGACTCAGTGAGCACATAAAATGCACTTACGTTTAATATAGAAAGCACACAGAAATCACGAAACTCGGACAAACTGATAATTGGAAGTAGATGATGGTAGCGTAAGATTTCGAATGCTTCACATCGCCTCTCGATAGCCTATAGATAGTCGATGTGACGCACCAATCGTTTACCAATAGTTTGACCTTCAAGTGCTGAGCGACCTCGGACAATAGATAATACCACTACATCTTTACTCCGCATAAATTAGATACGCTAATCAAATTTACCTGTGACGCAGTCCTTTTCAAACTTCCTACTAGTTCATTTTTCCCGAAATTATTGATGGTGGTAAGTCTCAACAAACTAAGTAATAGCAATTCTTAGCTACTTGGTGTTCAAATTAGTTGTGAACTTACTAATGTTACTAATCTAAGTCCTTCATGTGACGATTTTCGTTGGTATTTGAAAGTATGAACGCTTAAATAATAATTTTGGTTTTATAATGAATAGGTTAAGTGTGGAAACTGTGGCGAAGATACTCATGATTATGTATACATTAACGCTTTAGTAAGTTGGTAGACACGTATAGTCTAATAATTTCAGGATAAAACACCAATACAAGATAGTCGCGGAGATGCGAATTTGGTCATCCGGTGTAAGCTTTGCAAACGGGTTTCAAATGCAGGTATTCAGTTGGTTTACATGTTGTACATCTTTTATATTTCAAAGCCTTAGATTCAGAAAGTGGTTTATAATTTCACTGGCTAATTAAAAATATTCGGGACTTACTTCGTAGCGAGCATTCAGTGGCATGTCGCGATTCTAATCCACAAATATATTTCTTGTAAGGTGATTTGATGCGTATCTCCTATAATACGCATTTCTGACCATTTTTTGGCTTAGACCACCGAACCAAATTTTTTTGACACATCATGCCATTAGATTGATAATGAACTCATCCTATACCACATATATTATGTGGTAGTTTTGAACTTACTCGATTGACTTTGTTGTTCATTCCGGCATCAATGACAACGTTATCCACACAGTTGTGACAAGCGAAGACCGAAACCTAACCCAAAGACTACATTTCATGACACAAACGCGTAATGTCAATGAACTCTACTGTAGTACAGAATGTTCCAAATATAAATCAGATAGTAATAGATCAGATAACATTTAATAAACTGTGAGTTCAAACATGATAAAATATAGGATCAAGTGTTGTTCAGTTTCGTATTTTTCAAATCATTGCTGTCACATTTTGGGTAACTGGGTTATAGCTAAGCAAAATTATGATTTTACTACGTGATCTCAGAATTCCGGCTAATAAAATATATTTCAAAGCCACAACTGAATATTTTGTAGTCATCAAGCTCTCAAAAAGTAATATAATTCAGCAACCATCTACGTATTTCTGTGTATCCAGCACTAACCTACGCTACGTAAATGCTTGTGACACTATTCTACTGTCAAGCTGATGTTATTCAAAAAGGATGTAGACAATCAGTCAAGAATTGTACATAAAAGTCACAATAGTCTCAAACGTTTACTTACTGCCCTAAAGTAAGTTGGATTTTTCAAATACATCCAAGTGTGTGTAGCAAGCCATATATCACTGCCAGTCTTCATAAATCTTGGTCAAATTATTCTTAACGCGCAATTTATTAATCAAAGATCATGGAAACATCTTAAAATCATGGTCAGTGAATTTGTTTTCTATATGAATACGTCAATCTGCTGATTATTCCCAAGCACTCAAGTGGATGATTTTCATTTGATATCTATTGATTAACGCTTTTTTTGATGTAATCATTAAGACGACTTGTTTTTATGGGTTTAAATTTTAGATATCATCCCTGGTAGTATAGTTCCATACTCAATTGACGATTCGGGTCAATTTAAAACTATTGTGAAATTCGATTGTCGTGGTCTAGAATTCACTGAATTTTCTCCTCGTTCCGGTTGGTCTGCATCAAGTATCAATTCTGATATGGTTTTTGATGATATTTCGTTGACAGATGAGGTATAAACAATACAATGCAATTAATATTAATTATATTTAATTCTTTCACTGATAAACATAATTTTAATTTTTTTTAAATAAAATTTATATACGTATTCAGTATAACCCACTGTATATATCAAATCCTTTTGAGTATACTGCTGCTTCTGTGTATATCTCGTTGGTCGTCACACAAAGTATGTGCATACATCGTGTAAACTTGTTATTACGCGCATGTTTGTTTATTGAATTTTATTGATTTATTTGAGTTTAGTAGACTATGGTGTTGTACTTGATGTGATTAACTTCACAATTATTTCTTAGACCAGCCACTTATTATTTACGTATAATTTACAGTCTGATGGATTTATGTATGTTGTGTTTACTGAAGGTAAATTTTGAAGGTGAAGATATTAATCTTAAATTGTTCATGTATCTAATCAACTTTAAAGTTCATTTTGTTCGGCAGCACCGCTCATAATGCAGATTAATAACAATTTTCGGTTAGGGGGGGGTGTAAGAGGAATTTGATTTTGACCAATTAGGTCTCGCGTGCTGTTACGGGTATGAGGGCGGTTGTCACTTCCCGGCTTCCCACACCGTGGAAGGTTGTTTCTTGACGAACCTGAAAAGGAAGGTGAATTAGTGTTGGTCTTAGAGATCTGAGAGCGTGACCGCAATGCCCAAGGGACTACTGCTTGAGGCCGGTCACGCACGGCCTTTTGAGGAAAGGTTTTTTTAGTATTAGCTCCGCTGTTAAAAGCCCTTAGTGGGCACCCTTACCACCGGGGACGGAAATCCGTGAGGTAGGGTGACGTGTATTATTTTTAGGGTCGACCTTTTCTAACCCTTCCTTCCTTGTTAGAAGGCAGTATCGCTGCAGATGCTGGTTGTCCGAGGGAAACACCTTACTGCTGTCACAACCCTCTGCAGTCAGCAGTACGACTTCGCCCTCAGACGTTGAGTAGCTGCTTTTAGTCTGATCGTTCTCCAATCGACCTGCCTGGCATGGTAGAACCTTCAGGAACATATGTTGCAGCCAATATAGCTCGGCTGGGTCACGACGATAGGCAAACCCGACCACCACGTCAAGGTAGCAGCTACGGTCGGGACAATTTCCGGTTGCATTTAAGTGAACCGATACACAGCCTAAATCCTTTCCTTAATCTTACATTCTTATTTCATTCATTATAGCTGTCTCCTAATTTACTCTGGATTTCATCCGTTAACTAGGATATTCTTAACAGATAGTATGAACATTTCACGCAGTCCATGACCATAGCTGTAGAATAATGAATTCTTATCTTATGTTTTTCAAATAGTTCTAGATATCTTGTGAGCAATATCGACACATATTTGTAGCTGTGCAGTTAGTGTTTTGACACAAGTACCTAGTATAATTAATTTAAAACTTGCTGATACTTCATAAAATCGAATGTCTGTTTTTATTCTGTGTCAACCATTTAGTAACTGTCTCAAAATCATGGCGATAGTGATGTACATGACAGGATATAAAGTACAAATAAGGTTCTACGTTTTATCATTATCGTTATATATTACAATAACGTTATTGATAATGTTGTGGAAAAGTCATACATAAAGCGCAAGAAAAAATCAATTCTTGATAACAGTGATGAACTCTCATCACCAAGAGTATCGTCGTAGCACAAAAGATGATAATTTTGAATTGTTGACTGTGTAGAGCTTGATGACCTTCCACGGTGTGGGCAGCCGGGAAGTGACAACCGCCCTCATACCCGTAACAGCACGAGAGACCAATCTGGTCGAAATCAAATCCTTCCTACACCCACACATACTTCTCTTCTCTCCACAACTAACTCTACTCACATTCCCTTATCTGACTGCACCGCTAATGCAAACGATGCGAGTTCACGAAACGTCATTCCTGGCCTCTTGAAACCTCGTTTTAGTCTACATCCTTTTACCAGGTGGCTCGCTTATTGACTTAGAATATGCCGATGACATAGTCCTATTCGATGAAGACGCTGACAAAATGCAGAGTCTTCTGACCACCCTAAGCGACAATGCAAGCATGTTCGGGATGCGGTTCTCACCCTCGAAATGCAAAATGTTGCTTCAAGATTGGGTTGCATCGGAACCTGAAGTAGTGATAGGGAGTGAAGTAGTCGAGTGTGTTGATCACTTCAGTTATCTGGGGAGTGTCATCAGTGCTGATGGTCTAGTGACTGACGAAATCTCAGCTCGGATACAGAAGGCTCGATTGGCTTTTGCCAACCTGCCTCACTTATGGCGAAGGCGAGATATCCGTTTGCTTTTTGTTTTTCAATTAATCTAATAGTTATGAACTAAAAGACACTTGTTACTACTATTGTTGTTGTATTTACTTACTCATTTATTTTATTCATTTGTACTGTTTTTTTCTTTATTTTCAGATTTGGTGTGATTACGATGAAAAAGGTAAATGTGAAGTTAGCATACAAAATATTCAAAGTCAAATAGTTAAATTAAAACATTAATAAATAAATAAATATTTGCAACTTGTTGTTTAACAACTGTCTATGTTTGTATTTTGTGTATTATATTTTTAAAAATAAATTTTTTATATTTTTCCTAACTAATTGATATAGAGCTTTTATTAAATAAATGTCAGTCGGTCAGTCAGTCAGTCAGTCAGATGCAACGTAGAACCTTGTACGTAAGTACATCAGTTCATGTTGCTATACCACATCAGTACAGAGATATAATCGTCAATTCAAATCCAATAGTAGAAGAGGTAGTTAAGGTATTACAAGTAATCGCAGAGGTTATTAGGATTAGAAGATACTATTCAAGAAGTATGATTAAATGAGAAAAGTTTAGAAAGTCAAAACTAGAGGTGTTGAAGAATCCAGAAGATTAGGATTTGAGAGAAAAAAAAAGAGTGGATGCACCGGCGCCGTTGCAAACGGTTTTGAGCCATGTCATTCAGGGTATCTAACCATCGATTATTATCGTCTCGCGGACCCCAACCAGGTAGTCGACAACTACCGACATGGCTAAGTCCACTCGTCAATGACTTCATGGATTTGTGCCATGTTTTGGTTTGGCCGTCTCATAGCTTTCTTCCAACTTATTCCTACACTACAAAACAAGGCTCGTTGAAGCAGTCGGTGGTTGGGCATACGCAGCACATTTCCCAACCATCTCAACTGATGAAGTTTCATTACTTCATCTATTGATCGTAAGCACATTTATTGTACAATTAAATATTTCATATTGTTTTCATATCTGATATGATAATACAAACATAAATTTATATAGTGTTCTTTGAATTCGAGATCTTCCTTGTTTCTTGTCTAGGTTCTAGTTAAATTGAGATTATTCGTATTGCATTAGATGATTTTAAAAATTCACATTGGTCGTTGTGAACAGGAAATTTCTCACCAATGCGTCACCACGGGAAGTAAGAGATTATATTTTGTGTTTTAGATATTATCGCGCTTTGTTTTTGAGGAACGAATCCACTGTGACCAAAGGTCCAGGATAATTGTTGTTAAAAGTTCATCATCCCCTGACTGACCACTACCGGCCGGTTTTTCAGTTCATTTCAGAGTAATTCAAAACTACTATAATGACCATATCGAAATTTAGAGCCGATGCATGTACAAATTCACTAACAATGAGATCAATCTGATTGGTTGACTGATCAGATGTCTTGTAAATACATCCTCGGAGTAGACTATAATTTGCAGTGTTGATTGATATCCATACCAGTTTAGGTAAACTACTTATGGCATTGTCTTCAACGTTATCGGTCTTTAGTCAGCTATATGCATGTTTGATTCCTCGGTTACAGCGATAAAGCTGGTAGTTCAGAATATTTCATTCTGAATTAGAAAGTGAAGAAGAGCACCATGTTTCAGTGATAAGTAACAAGAAAGATTTGTCTAGTAAGGCTGAGGTTTTTAATACCGGAATTTTATTTAGATGTGAACGTGCATTGATAAGTAATATGCTTAAAAATTTAGTATGAACTGTAAAAAAACAACAGATAATGCCCTTGATTATGTTATGCATTTCAGTGTTGACTAGATTACGGTCTGGTTCGGGTGCCTGATCGTATTAGGCTATGGCATGAACAAACTATAGAGAAAGTGGGACCAGGGGTATCTGTAGACCAAAAATATTATTATTACGATAAGTTAAACTTATTCGCTGAGATTGATGTGGTAGACAGTTAGGAAAGTCAACTGGAGTCAAGTGTATGATTTTTAACCTAGCAGATCATCTTGTCCATTGGGCTGCTAGTGAAGATAGTTAAATCTTACAGACCTCGTACATAAAAATTTTGGATTCAGCTGTAGGACATGTTAGCTTCCTTCTCTCTGTATATTATCAAGTCTGCTTACATTAAGGTCGCGGTTGACATTTTAACGCATTTGTTGCATAAAGTCTATTTCGTTGATTTGGAAAGTGTGAATTTAACAAGTCACCTATTGCTCGTATGTTTGGCTTAGATGATGAGTTGGTAGACCGACCGTTTCTTATCTATTCGACCATAAAATCTCCTTTATGATCCGAAGGGTCTCAAACCTCGAGTTCGGGAGTTCTCTAATTAAAGCGGGATTTTAACGGGTACATTTTAGATATTCACGTTATTTCTAGGGATTAATCACCTAGTAGCTTCATCAACAATGAATACAACCGATTATGCACTTAACTAAGACCTTAATCTGTGTATCCGTGTCTAAGTTAGAACGTTAAATGTGTATATTCAAAAAATTTGTGTAGAGTCTATTCAGTTTGCTAATCAAAGCTTCCTAAATTACCTCTCAAACCTACCCTCACATAGCAGATTAAACGAGCATATGAGTAGCGTATGCATCCATACAGGACGACTGAGGAGCGTGACAAATTTATAGATCACTTAAATTTATCCAAAATGTTTAAAACATAATCATTTAGATATTAATTAAAAACAACCATTGAAAACCAGAAAGTACTGGAGGGAGGCTATTTCAATGCCCATTAGCCAACAGACTAAACCAAACCAAAAGTGACACTGAACCAGGTGAAAACTCATCTCATATGGCTCTGAACATGATGAAGAACGAAGTCAACTTAGGCGCATGCTGATAAAAAGCCTGCGCAACGACCGTGAACAGTGGTGGGTGGCGAAAGCAAAAGCGATGGGAAAGGCAGCGGTGATCGGCAACAGTAGACAACTTTTCCGACTTATCAAGGAAACTGGTATTAGGAATCCTAGTGTAAGTGAGACTATCTCGGAAAAGAATGGAACTATTATTTATTCTCAATCCAGGAGACTGGATCGATGGGCAGAACACTTTAGGGATCAGTTCAACTGGCTTCGATCCACTCTTCGGTTACCAACGATCTCCAGTCATCCCAAATGGCAAACCGACGTAAGTCCCCCTAGTCTTAATGAAGTTGAAAAAGCGTTAGGAAATTTGAAGCGAGGGTGAGCTGCGGGTCCTGATAGACTGACCCCTGAGATACTTAAGGATGGTGGTCCAGTTTTAGCAACTAGGTTGACCGTGATCTTAGGTCAGCTCGGATACAGAAGGCTCGATTGGCTTTTGCCATACTGCGTTACTTATGGCGTAGGCGAGATATCCGTTTGCTGACTAAAGGACGAGTGTACTGTGCAGCAGTTCGCTCCGTCTTACTTTATGGCTGTGAAACATGGCCAGTGAGAGTAGAAGATATTCGTAGGTTACTGGTTTTCGATCATAGGTGTCTTCGAAGCGTTGCTCGAGTATTGTGGGACTGCCGAGTAAGCAACGCTGTTGTTAGGAATCGGGTGTTAGGTAAGAATGGCAGGTCAATGTATGAAGTAATGAAACTTCATCAGTCGAGGTGATAGGGACATGCGCTGCGTATGGCTAACCACCGATTGCCTAGAAGAGCTGTTTTGCAGTGTTGGAGTAGGTTGGAAGAAAGTTAGGGGCGGCCAAACCAAAACATGGAAGAAATCCATGAAGTCACTGACAAGTGGATTTAGTCATGTCGGCAGTTGTCGACTATCTGGTTGGGGCCCGGCCCGCGAGATGATAGTAATCGATAGTTAGAGACCTTGAATGACATGGCTCAGGATCGTTCGCAATGGCTCACGTGCACCCACTCGTTGTGTTCTCTCAAATCCTAATCTTCTGGATTCTTCAACACCTCTAGTTTTGACTTTCTAAACTTATCTCACTGAATCATGCTTCTTGAATAATATCTTCTAATCCTAACCTCTCCGATTACTTCTAATACCTTTACTACCTCTTCTTCTATTGGATTTGAATTGACAATTACATCTCTGTGCTGATGTGGTATGGCGACATGAACTGATGTACTTACGTACGAAGTTCTATGTTGCATCTGACTGACTGACTATGAATTTATTTAGTTCATAAAATTGAATCATACTTTATGTGTGTATCCATTTTCTGAATAAAAAAGTGGCGTAACATAAAAGTAGTCAGACATATATCCGTGGAAATAAACAGCGATAGATGGATCCTAAATTAAATTACACGAATAAGATAATTTCATTGCTAGACGAACGTTTGGCCAATGAAAATGTAGTGCTGTGCAGTACTTTTGTGCAATTAATGCTAAACTCGCCAATACTTTAGGAAATTGAATGTTTGTTGTATTCTTGGGTCAACCATTTAGTAAATAACTCAAAATGGTAGTGATAATGATAGGATATAGAAAGTATACTTAAAGTTTCACATTTTATCATCATAATCGTTATCGACGATGTAAAGTGATTAAGCGTGGATGAGAATATGAGAAAGCACACTGAATTATTATTACACTAAATTCCACTTAGTAATAATATCCGTCGCTGATCAAAGAATGTCTGATCACAAATTATCTAAGAAGGTACTATTACTTCCTACTATACAAAAGTAGCTCAAAATACTGACAGAATGGCCTATTTTTGTGAAATACTGTAATGAAGGTTTCTATGTGCTGTTAATAAATAAATATTGCTTTACATACATTTAATTTGTGGAAATCGGATTTCATCATGTGCATCATTGAAGTTGCAGTGTGACACAAGGATTAATACCAATTGACATAGAGTTCTTCCATTCCATGAATATCAGTTGACGAACTATAAAAGTCTAGGAAACAAGTTCACAGAAAGAATGAATCCACTCAGATCACGCGATATGATGGTAACGAGAACCTGCAGCCCAATGGTTGAAAGCCAAAACCGTAACTATTCGAGCGAGAGCTTCGTCAAAATACACATTTTTAAATTATCAGTTTAAATGCAGATCACATTTCCAAAGTTACTGTAAATTACAGTAAACAAATTTTTCTAACAATGAATTTTATCAACAAAAGGAGCATTAGAACTATTGATCTACCGATCGTTCGTTCGTTTTCGACAAGCTCCTCCACTTTGAAACTCAATAAGTTACAAATTCAAAAATTATTATTTTTCATTCTATTAGAGAGAGAATAGACAAAATATCATCAGTTGTTTTTTTCTTATTTGTAACATTTACATAATTGGAATTTCATTTTAAATATATAGTGAATTTCAAATTACTTTTCATTTTTACACTTGTTCTTTTCCTTTCCTCTCCTCTTTTGTGTTCTATTGACTGTTGATGATACGATTATGCTTGTGTTAAGTGTCAATGCAAAATCACTTGATCATTTTCATTCAAATCGTGCACATTTCACTGGTCTTGGCCTTAAACGTCCCAACCATATTGGTGATACAGTTGTTGATGAACTAGGTACAATTGCATAACGTCGATTCATTGATACTTTTTTCGAGATATTCCTCCTCCTTCTCATTGATGATGATGATGATGATGATTGTGTTACTACTACTAGTTTATTCAATTTTCTATTTTTAACACTAATTTTATTAGACATTCGTGATTGTTTTTTTAGCTTAGACATTAAAATAGTTTTTTGTTGAGATGATAATGATTTGATTGATTGTTGACTGTATTTTCTATTTTTACGTTTCTTATTATTATTATAGAATTTTTTATGTAATAATTTCAATTTGAATGTAGTTTTCGGTGGTTGTACGCTATTATACGCTACTACATGTTTTGATTTTGTTCTAAGATTATGAATATTATTATTGAATTTAGACTGTGATTGTTGTTGATGTTGTCGTGTTGTTGTACTACTATCAGTTTGAACATGTTTTATGAACATTCGATTAGAATGATTTTCATTGAATTGTTTTGACTGTTTCTGTGTGTAATATGAGGATGACGAGGATGACGAGGATGTTGATGTCGATGTTGGTAGTTTTGTATTCTTGTGATGATGATTATTATTTCGAAAGATATTTTTAAGACAATTAATAATTATAATAATAGTAATAACAATAAGTATACTGATAATGATACTAATAATAATGATTATCATAACAAATAGATCATCAAGGGATGAAAATATTATTACAATCCGAATGTATCTATAACATTTTCGTTTGTGTTGAATGGAGAATACATAATCAGGAATCACACATCAGCAACATGAAGAGATAATTTCCTAGTTTGTGCGTATTATAAATATGTATATATGCTTATATATGCATTTAAATAAATTTGAATTTATCGATCTAGCATGACTAGACTGACAGTGTATTTGCTATAAATTGAAAGGCAATCAATGATGAATGTAACTGATATAACGTGACCTGCCCACCGGGATGTTTATACTAGCTGATAGATTTAGTTTTTAATGGTAAGTCAGTGACTGTGTTGTTGTAGGTTTCTGTCCGTCAGGGATGTCCACTTTCTCCATTCTTGTTTAATTTTATCATAGACATACTCCTAGAAATAACTTTATCCTCGTCTGAATTTTCAGGAGTAGACCTTCTACCAAGTGGCTCGCTTATTGACTTAGAATATGCCGATGACATTGTCCTACTTGGTGAAGACGCTGACAAAATGCAGAGTCTTCTGACTACCCTAAGCAACAATGCAAGCATGTTCGGAATGCGGTTTCCCCCCTCAAAATGCAAAATGTTGCTTCAAGATTGGGTTGCATCGGAACCTGAACTGGTGATAGGGAGTGAAGTAGTCTAGTGTGTTGATCACTTCACTTATCTTGGGAGTCTCATCAGTGCTGATGACCTGGTGACTGACGAAATCTCAGCTCGGATACAGAAGGCTCGATTGGCTTTTGCCAACCTGCGTCACTTATGGCGTAGGCGAGATATCCGTTCTCTAATCAAAGGACGAGTGTACTGCGCAGTAGTTCGCTCTGTCTTACTTTATGGCTGTGAAACATGGCCAGTGAGAGTAGAAGATATTCGTAGGTTACTGGTTTTCGATCATAGGTGTCTTCGAAGCATTGCTCGAGTGTCGTGGGACAACCGAGTGTTCTCTCAAATCCTAATCTTCCGGATTTGTCAGCACCTTTAGTTTTGACTTTCTTAACTTTTCTCACTGAATCATACTTCTTGAATAATATCTTCTAATCCTAACCTCTTCGATTACTTCCAGTACCTTTACTAGCTCTTCTACTATTGGGTTTGAATTGACAATTACATCTCTGTGCTGATGTGGTATGGTGGCATGAACTGATGTACTTACGTACGACGTTCTACGTTGCATCTGACTGACTGTCTGACTGTAGGCTTCTTTCAAATTGGTCACACTGGGGCCGGTTTCTTGAACAGTTAGTTGTTAGTTATAATATTGCTTGTTGTGTAATTAATTAAAGAGTACTAACTATGTACAAGTATTGCATTTACCGCAAACTTTCCTATTCTGTCAGTCAAAACTACTCATGATATCCCCCTATCCATAGGCAATTTGGATTGTTTCCGCTCTATGATGAGTTGTAGTTTGGTATGTCTGTATATAGATTATGTTTGTCTGAAATACAATAAAGAAGGTTTATTTGTAGACTCACGGACATGAGGTAGAGGCTAGGTGCCGACCGAAGGTTAAAGTTTTGGTCAGGCGCATAGTCAGAGACATTAAGCTATGTAGTATTTAACACATCAAATTAGATTTCTGACTGGGCACGTGATGTCAGTCTATGGCTTTTAAGACATAACGATTGGGTGTTATTAATTTGAGTTACTGTGGGAATATCAATTAACTGATTGCCTACGTTAATGACCACTATTTTTTCAACATAGAATCAAGCACATCCAAGTACGGATACACTCACATATTGCTAAATACTGCTTATTTAATGATCGATTTTACTAGTAAAAAATATTTGAACGAAACAGTAGAGAAATTCACCAATAAAGCGGTAGTTTACCGGCTAAGACATTTGTCTTTTCATTGTTCATTTGCAGGTTTGAGTCTTTCACTGAAATTATTTCAACGTGACTAGCCGGCTTCTTAATGTCGTGAAATAAAGTGTTGCTCAATGTCAAAGATAAGTGGCTTACACCCAATCCGGAATTTTACTTTAAATTTGTTATTCCTCATAAATAATTACGAAACCATGTAGTTGTACCAGCATCTGATACATACGGATAAGTATCGGATATAGTACAGGTAACAAACCAACTAGAGTATTATGTTGAAGGTAAAAACTTTAGTTTTATCTATTAAACCCCTGCAAAGACAATAACGGCTATTATGCTTTAATGAATTATTAGAACGGGACAAAGTGATATTTGTTTTATACGTTCAGAGGGCAGTGAGAATCTAAACTGGCTAATTATTAGAATTATTCGACCCTCTTCATATAACTTTCCATTGTTTAAATATTGTTGAGTCCAGATGAATTAATGATGCGATTTTTGTTATTGTTCTGAACAGCATCATAAATACTTGCTTATAGGAAGTGTTGGTGATGTTAACATAACAACGATGAAGGTTTAGCCATTAGACTTTCTTGATTAGACAACTCAACAACATTAAAATTATTTATCGGCAGTTATTCACCTAAGACAATACATTATGTCCGTGCAATATCGTTGGTTGTATCAAGTTAGATGGGATGTCGCCTCAGTAGTTTAGAGGTTAAGCGTTTACTTGCGTGACCGAGAGTTTGACTCCCAATCGCAGGGTCATGGATTCGCACTGTCGACATATTCGGTCTTACTTGCGTATACTGAAACAAAGGCCAGGTAAAATCAACTCAATGTCGAGTACTAACTGCTACGAAATTTTTAAATAATCTATTGGTACTGAATTTCACCTAGTAGGTGCAAAGCATTTACGTCTAGTAGTTACAATATTTGGTAAACTGTCCGGACGACTAATTGCGTGGAGACCGGTATGGTAATTTGCATCTAACATTACTAGACGAGAACAATCATCCCCATGTTACATAGCAATACAGTAACACAAGACTAGATAATGAACTCTACCTGTCATAATGCCGTAATAATAAGTCGACGAAGATGATGAATTGATGTAAAGGTGGGGAAAATTACAACTTCAAACAAACTTAATTTCAATAAATATAGCTATGGTCAACCAAAACAATAGACTCTGAAGATGGAGCTTCGTTTTTACCGTCAGTATACGCATAAACCGTGTACATGCATCTTCATATGACGTTGGAACCTGAAATTTAAGATAGTTCGCCCAATTTCTTACTTGGAACTTTGGACAATGTTACAGATCTTTTATTGTGGACGCAAACGTAGGTCAATGTCTATCTTACTCTAGACTTTCCAGGACGTCAAAAGAATAGGATAAGATAGGATAAGATATACCTTCCACTGTTCGTGAAAACCCTCTATATAATTGTTTGTGTGGTTGTTCATACTTAGTACATGTCTCTGATAAGAGCCAGCGTATATAGACTTCCGATCCATTCACTGATCTCTCATGCATTGAAAGGTTCTTTTGAGTAAATCTGACTATAGTGGATTATGCAAAGCGTGATCGGTAGCTACTTGCTTCCTGCAACTGAAGCATATCATAGACAAATCCCAGTTTTCTCGAAATGTTGTAACTTCCGTGTTGAACTGTATGTGCTGCAAAATACTGTTTATATACTTAGTGAAAAAATCAAATAAGTAGAATAAAGGTTTAACAAGCTTGTTACAAGAGTGGGCACCTATTTGCAGCATCGTCACGGGTTAGCTGTTTACGGGACTTTTAAGAAGCAAGATGCCGAACGTTACGAGAAACATCGTTTTCTCTGACTAAGTAGTGGTGATGAGTTTAAAGGTATACAGCAATCGGAATAATGTAAAGCACCATTAGTGACCGCATCCTGATGACGAGCATCTGATTCTGATGAACTGCGTTTACATCCATATGTACAAATACATCTTACGGAAAAATATTCGCGAGTTGGGTCAATCTTGTTCTTTTCACATACTGATATGACGTATTTAGCGTTTGTATACTGTGCAAAGAATTGACTGAAAAAGTCTTATTTCCTTATTTACTTCATTTAGACAAGTTTCAAAATTATTCCAATTGATAAGTCGCTGCTACAACATGATCTCATCGAAAATTCATCCTAAGTCTTGATGTAACCGCCACTTAGAAAGCCTAAAGGTTGTCGAAGTGGTGCACCAATCATTTGATAGCGATTTGACCTTCAAGTGCTCAGCAATCTCCATCAGTTGATAATACCACCAAAACAGTGACCTACTACTACCATGTCTGGTTGGTTTACTAACAAAGTAGGTTGATCCGTTTTTCTTTTCTATGACGTAGTTAACTGAATGTTCGGGATCATCCTTGTCTACAGAAGACCTACTCAAACTGAGAGATGAATGTAGTTCTGCTTATGAACGGAATTATGGAGCGAAACTATGGACAAATATGCTTCCAAAGGAATCAAGTTCCTTAAATCGAACTACTCGAGAATGGTTATCCATGGCACTAAAATCGAAGTGTGGACAAGATTATATGTGTGCGATGGCCTATTTAGTAAATTCATATCCATTGCACGCTATTGGATATCTTGATACTTTAATATCGTTCGTCTCACCATCAAAAAAGCGAGACTGTTTCAGATCGTTGGGTAAGTATTCGAATTATTTTTCTATGTAGGGTACAGATATATTAAATCACCTTTTCAGCAACCTAATTCCAAAAAATCGTGCTTTGATTCCTGTCAAAACTCGACCATTAGACGTGTTGGAAAAGTTGAATTCTTCTTCAAAAGAAAATATCCTTTGTTTATGGCATTTTGAGGATGAGTTGAAAAAAATCTACTTGCGGTTTATCAAGGCATCAGAGGTTAGCTATTTTCAGGTTGTTAATTTTTGTAGCAACTTTTGTTAAGTGATTGTGCAGACAATTTCAAACGTAAAACATTAGGTAACTACTTTCTAAAAGTTCGTAATGTTTACCTGTAGGAATTCTTGGAAATCTTGTCGAGAAACAAGAAAATCAAATGGTATGACGCCAGATTTTTTCATTTTTGTAGTTGATATTAAACATAATCATCAATAAACTCGGTGATCGTAGTAAAGAGTTTGCATCTGCAGTGATACACAAGTTACGTCTAATTGGTGAGTTTGTACTTTTGATTATCTTTATTCTACAGCTGGAATTTCTAGTAATTTTCTGCATTTAGTCGTCCAGGAAGTTCGATCTTTTTTGTTCCGTCCAAATTTGTTGGAAAGATCAAAATATTATGCTATTTCACTGTTGAGTTGTTTGGAATTGAAGAGTTCATCTCATGGAAGTGGGACTAATGTAACCGTATCGTCTGTGGCATCAACACTGATCAAGATTTATATGTCGTTTTTCCGTTCTTTAGCTAGTTCTAAAGAAATTCCTGAACGACTAGTTACTGTATTGCTTAGTGGTTTATGTAGAGTGACTCCTTTTATTACTGGTAAGTGCCATTCCTTTGGATATCATAATTATTAATCACTGTGTTTATGTGCTTTCATTTATACCTTACTGTAGTTTATATGTTTAATGGTACCATACAGGTGACTAAACTAAAATACATGGTGCGGTATTCCAACTTGGAATCTGATCACTGAATACTATGTATTTTGATCACAGTTATTGTTTGTCAGTTTATGCGGGTTGCGTTTTGTCTAACAGAGAGTCAGTTTTTTACTGTTTATAATCATAGTGTCCAGATGTTTTACAAAACGGTAGATAGTTTATAGACGAAAATATGACATGATAACTGAGCTCAGTTGTATTAATCGTTCGTTGAAGCTTTTCGTATTACAAAATTTCTAATAAAAATTCTGTCAAGCTTATCAACTTGACCATTTGTAACTTTTCTGTTTGTGCGCTTTGACAGTTTATATTACCGCAATCTACTTCTACTGGGAGACTCGCTTGTTGACTTAAAATATGCCGATAGCATAGTTCTAATCGGCACCTGAACTCGTTATAGGTAGTAAAGCTGTTGAGCGTGTTGACCGCTTCACTTATCTGGGGAGTCTCGTCAGCGCTGATATCCTAGTGAGTGATGAAATCTCAGCACGGATACAGAATGCTCTACTGGCTTTTGCTAACTTTCTTCATTTATGGCCTAGGCGAGATATCTTTCTGCATACAAAAAGACGGGTCTACTGCATAGCAGTTCTCTCCCTTCTACTCTACGGGTGTGAAACATGTCCACCAAGAATTTAGGATATTCGTAGGTAACAAGAATTCGATCACAGTTGTCTTCGAAGCATTGCTCATGTATTGTGGGACGATGGAGTAACCAATGCAGATGTTAGAAAACGGGTACTAGGTAAGGATGGCAAATCGACTTCTGAAGATGTAAAACTTCATCAGTTGAAGTGATTAAGATATGCGTTACATATGCCCAACTACCGATTGCCTCGATATGCGATGTTATCTGATGTAGTGAGTAGGCTGGAAGAAAGCCAGTGGTGACCAAACCAAAACATGGCATAAATCCATAAAGTCATTGAGAACTGGACTGAGTCAGTGTTAGTAGGTGAAAACTATCTGGTTGTGGTCGGCGAGATAGTGATCACGGGTGGTTAGAGACTTTGAATGATGTCAGAAAAAATCGTTTGCAATGGTGCAGGTGCATACATTGTTTGTCTTCTCCCAAGTTCTAACCTTCCGAATTTCTCATAATTCTACTTTTTTCTCTTGTTGAATTTGTTTCACCGGGACGCACATACGAATCATTTCTTCACTCCGTAATCTTGCGTTGAACTTCGTGGTCATGCAAACGGATAATATATCTAGTTTACTCACTGTTTGTTTTATTGCCATTCAAAGGTGATATTCTTTTGCTTATATGAAGCCCGACCGAAGCTGCTACCTTGACGTGGTGGTCGGGCTTGCCTATTGTGATGACCCAACCGAGCTGTATTAGCTGGAACACATGTTCCTGTAGGTCCAACAATGCCAGGCAGGTTGATTGGAGAAAGATGAGACTAAAAACAGCTACTCAAGGTCCGAGGGTGAAGTCGTACACCCACACATACCTCCCTTCTCTCCAACGACAAATCGAATATAATCAACCAGTTGGTAATCTCGAGGACAAATCGAACAGAACCACTAACTGGAAATCCCGACGCCATACAGCGACAAAGCAGCTCTGGTACTCGATGCGTTAGCTGAACGAACCAAGCATTATCTTATTATCATTCCGATTACGTACCAACTCGTCGCATCAATATATTTCTCGAATTATCGCTATCATAATCGTATTAATGTGAAAGAACCATTATCGTCATAATATAATATTATGATCAATCAGAATAATGATTGATCATGATATTATATAGGCTGGCAATATGTTCCACTGATATGATATGATCTATTTGTCTTTTTTTACATTCATTTTTCTTATGTCAAACTATGATTATGATTATTATTATTTAATTATTATTTTTTTTAATCAGAAGAAGCATTTACATCTATGTTAAGTGAAGTTGATGATCTATTTCGACTTGTTCACACAACTGGTTTCACTGTATCTGTTCAAGCATTGTCTGTACTATTTCAAATTTCAACACATTGTATTTCTATACGTGATCGTTATTATCAGGTTAGTTTTTGATAAATAAAATGTTTTTAAATCCAGTATTTGTAGTTATTTCAATGAAGCGATTAGTTTGAATTTATGATTCATGTTCCTTTCTTCAGTTTAACTCTCAATTACTCGGTTTATTTTCTCATTTTGGTACTCGTCAACTTTATAAGTCAATATATATAAACGCTAAACTCTTAAAAGAAATTAACACCTGATTATCAAACTTAATTTTTGGCCTATATATAGTATTTCAACTCATTTTTTAAACTTTTAACAGGGTTTTCTAAAAAAAACAAATAATTTATTAAAATTTTCACAGCGTTTTTTAAAATTAAAAAAAAAAAATAAAATAAGAACTACTTTTAATTAAAATCTTCTTTAGCAATCGCTTTTAAACAATTGCGACGTACGTGTCTTGAATAACCTTGTAAATCATCCCTGGTTAATTGATTTACAGAATTTAGTATTAGATTTATAAAAGATTCGTTGGATCCGCTCGCCAGAGATCTTCTTACAATGGATTTAATTTTTTCTCGAATTTCTACCATCGTTATTAACGGGTTTAATTCTATCAATTATTCAACAAAATTGATAATATCACCACATATTTTCTTATTTGATGGTTTTCCTGTTTTTTTCTTCTCAACTCGCGATTCCTTTTTATACAACCTTATAATATTTATAGCGGCCTGATAGTTTACATCTGTAAGAAATGCCGCATCATTGACGCTGTATCCATCTTCATTAACTTTTTTATAAGGCTTTTTCTTTTTTCATTCGAAATTAAGTTGTTTTTTTCTACTTATTTCTGACATTCTAAGGATTACAAAAAATTTTGAAAAACGCTGTGAAAATTTTAAAAATTTTTTTATTTTATTTTAAAAAACCCTGTTAAAAGTTTAAAAAGCGAGTTGAAATACATATATATTACTACTAATAGAAAAAACTATAACACAGTTCACTTGTCATTACGAACACCTTAACCGATATCTAACCTAGTTGTCAGTCAGTCAATCAGATGCAACGTAGAACTTCGTACGTTAGTACATCAGTTTAGAAAGTCAAAACTAGAGGTGTTGAAGAATCCAGAAGATTAGGATTTGAGAGAACACAAAGAATAAATGCACCTGCGCCATTGCAAACTGTTTTCAGCCATGTCATTCAGGTTATCTAACCATCGATTGTTATCATCTCGCGGACCCCAACCAGGTAGTCGACAATTACTGACATGGCTCAGTCCACTCGTCAATGACTTGATGGATTTGTGCCATGTTTTGATTTGGCCACCCCTAACTTTCTTCCAACCTATTCCTACACTACAAAACAAGGCTCGTCGAGGCAGTCAGTGGTTAGGCATACGCAGCACATGTCCCAACCACCTCAACTGATGAAGTTTCATTACTTCATCTATTGATCTTCCATTCTTACCTAGCACCTGATTCCTAATAACAGTGTTGCTCACTCGGGTGTCCCACGATACTCGAGCAATGCTTCGAAGACACCTATGATCGAAAACCAATAACCGACGAGTATCTTCTACTCTCACTGGCCATGTTTCACAGACATAAAGCAAGACGGAGCGAACTACTGCACAGTACACTCGTCCTTTAGTCAGCGAACGGATATCTTGCCTACGCCTAGTTGAACATTATATTATGATTTTTTTTTTGATTCTGTTACTCTCTCTATCTTTTAGGCATTGTATAGAAAATTACTGGATCCTGCTATTCATCAAAGTTCAAAAAATCCAATTCTACTACGTTTAATCTATCAAAGTATGATTAGTGATGATGATACTGATAGGATTGCTGCATTTTTCCATAGAATCTTACAATTATGTCTTTCACATACAGATCCTGGTTTTATTGTTGGTTGTTTAATTCTCATTAATAAGGTATGATTGATTTTCTGCTCTCTATTTACGTCTATTTGTATTTAAACCTGTTGCAGTGTCTAACTAATACGACTGTACAAAATCTATGTAAATTAATTACAAACCTCACATTGCACTATACGTTCAAAAGTTATTATAAATGTCACTCGTTACTGAATATTAATAAGTAGTATAAAGCAACAAACAAAATTAAGTTGGATGGGGAAATACGACAGAAAGCACAAACAATCCTTACAGTATCAATTATTCTAAATTATTTATTGGTAGTTCATCTCTTGATTTCTATGCAAAATGATAAACAAAGCCACTCACAAGTTCGAGGATTTCAATAAAATTTTCAGTACATCCTCGAGGGAGTCACTAAGTTAGGTACGTCAAGGTTTTAACATCAAATTTCACAGAACTAATATGAACTGACAGTGACCTAATGAGTACATTTATCGAAGATACTTTTCAATAGTACTGAGAAATTTTTCGTATTTTGAGATGATTAGGAAGATTTGTAGCTCAGGTGGATGATTGTGATGGAGTTTCGTTCTCTTCTACCTGAAGTTTATGCTGATGTTGTGCAGGAGAACAATGAAGGCTGCACAACCAGAGTATGTAGCTCAGACAATGAAACTCCATCACAACCTTCTTGTATGCTTAGTAGGCTATAAAACCTACAAAATTCTCAAAGTATTCAGTAAAATATTTTGTAGTTTACTTAGTCATTGATTTTAAATGAGACAAATCACATTGAATAAAATTGCTTTAAAATCTAATTGATAGCATCAATAACAATAATAGTTAGAATACCTGCATTTTGAAAACCAACTAATTGCCTAATCTCTCTTCTTGTTCTTTTACTTTGGTATTATTTCATATTCCTGTGTATTCCTTTATATAGGTATCTTTATCCAAACCAAATCTCTTGATAGTTTCTCAAATCAATCAAGATCAATTGGTAAGTGATTTTAATGTTATGAGTTTGCAGTCAGTCATTCAGAAATAGTAATTACTTGAGAAAATATACACAATGTTGACTAATACATATTTGAGTCTTCGTGGAGATATTTTGTCCTATTTCTAAATGTTAGCAAAATAATGTAGTGTCGTCATAAAGCAGTGAAATTTCTATCTCTTAGCTGCTTGCTATGTTTGCTAGCTAACTATTATTACTCATATCCCTTGTCCGGGATTCGAACCCGTGACTTTAATTGTTCGAGTCCTTATCCACGTGCTTCGGCAGCTATCATTAGTTTACAAAGCCCCTAATTCACGGTTACAATAATGATCAATTATCGTTCTTGACAAAAATAAGCTCAACTAGGACCAAATAAGAGTGTGGCAAATTTTACATCAGTTTAGCGGGAAGAACTGATGTACGATAATCAAAAAACAATAATAGTCTCAAGATTAGAAGTGCAATTCCAAAAAATAAAAGTATTACTGTGTTTGATTTTACTCAATTTCACTCAGCGTTCTCAACCATTGATCATCAATATGACATCACCACCAGTCAACATAGTTTCATTTGTACATCTTTTGATTCCCCCCTACTTATTTTCTTAGATAACATTGCACCTCGGTGTCAATTTTTTATTTATTCTATTTAATGAATATGAATATTAGTACATTTGAATATCAAAATAAATATGTTTCACACAAATAAGGAAATAAGATTACGAAGAGTTAGATGAGTGTAATCTTAAGTGTGTATACATGAAAATAGTAAATAAAGGAGTACGGTATTCTAGTTGAAAAAACGGTCGATATTTCACTCAGATAAGTAAATTTCTTGCATTCGTTTTTTGAAGAATATATATACGACACAATCGCCATAAGTTTCTGTCTTAAACCATGTCTGGTATCATTTTGAGCCTTCGTTTCACATGTTCTTTGGGATATCGACTTGTAATTCGTGATGGATTGACATACCAGTCCTATACAACTATATTTCATACCACAGCGTTATGTCATAGATTGACCGACGATGTATTCGCTTTTTCCATACTGTTGCAGTGTCGGAAGATAATTCCTGGTTTGGTATCACATTCTTGTACATGTCCAATCCACTAAAGTCACTGTTTCAAAATAGTGATACCGATTGAGTTATTGTCTGTGCCTCATCCAAATCCTTTTTGCTCGAGATCGAATAAATGGTTTCTTTTAAGAAGACAGTTAACAAGCACAATCTGTACACCTTATTTTCAGACTTTCATTTGCCCAACTCTTGGCTATGCTGTTCCACATGTCTTCTAGTCTTCAAAACAATTTGATCACGGCATACATCCGAAACTGACACTCTTCTCTTCATTGGTAACTTCTGGGAGATACTCCGCAGCATATTACCTAAAACCATGTTGCAACTAGTGCACACCACAGTAGGATTACGTTGGAAAAAAGCCATAGTAGCCAAAATCAAGATTTAGCATATCAGTCTGTGAAGTTTGGGACGACTGGACTGAAGTATGTAGACAGGCGTAAATAAGTCCTCGCGCTAACCTCGATCAGTTGTGGGGTACGCCAGACGATATGGATCGGTCTCTGGAGCAGATGCTTTCTCCATCTTCACCTATATTTTGAGTTTTAAGATTAATTTACACTTCCCTGTTCTACGACTTACTTACGCCTGTTACCTCCAATGGAGTATAAGCTGCCGACCAGTATACTCCAACCCCACTCTGTCCTGGGTCTTCCTTCCTAGTTCTGTCTGATTTTTGCTCATTCTTCTCATTATCTGTCTCCATTTTACGCCATAATGTGTTTTCAGGTCTTCATCTCTTCCTTCGGCCTTGAGGATTCCAAGTGGGGGTTTATCTTGTGACGTAGTGGCATACCAGCTCTGGCGAGACGGGTTCGAATCACCAACCTAAGGGTCACTGCATCAATCTACGGTCCTCTGCTCTACCAAATTATCTATCGTTAGACCCCCTATTCTACGAATTCGTTCTTTAATATCAAATCCTATTGTCTTGGTCTAATCTTTTCTGTTAATCTTTGATTTGTCTTGATTAGTTGATCTCACTGTGTATCACTTGGATCAATGCACTTATGTGTTCAGCTTTTACGTTTCTTCTGATTGTTGCCCTCAACATTTTCAATTGACTATTTCTAATACGTGTTTTGATCCTGAATAATCAACTCTTTTCTTATAATATTTTCACAACTTATTATTATTGTGATTATTATTCCCTATTTTATTACATAGTCAGTTAATCCGATGACGAATTTGGCTAAATTCGAACAGTCCAATGGTAACGACGATGATGATGATGATGAAGACGAGCATTTCAGTGATGCACATTGCTCTGACGATGATGAGGATGCTAATGCGGATGATAATGATCATGACGAAAGTGTACAAAAAAACAATGTAATAATCAATGACAAATCTACACTGATGACTGATAAGAATCAGAATGTCTCATCATGGTATCATCGTTCATTGAGAAAACAACGAAATATTCAAAACGTATTTGGTTATGGTTATAATCCAACTGCACGTGAACCAAAATTTGCCCAAGCTGCTGGATGTTTATTATGGCCATTAAATCTTTTAGCTAAACATAATCATCCTACAATTAATTTATTTGCTAATTCATTATTAAATCAATTACCAATACAATATACTGGTGATCCATTCATAGATTTTGGATTAATGCATTTTTTGGATCGATTCTCGTATAAAAAACCAAAGCTGAATAAATTAACAGGAGTAAAATCAACTGCTGATGGACCAGTTCAAAGTAAGTGCGTGTTTGGGTATGTTTTTGTTCATTGAACTGCTGTTATCTGTTGTTGTTGTAAAATGTTCTAGGTTATTAAATCCC